ACACACACACACACACACACACACACACACACACACACACACACACCATCTCCATTAGGCGGACTGTCCTGTTGTCAGAGTCAGGAAGGCTGTCACTTTTCTAGCCAACCAGGAGTGCTGAGGCCTGCTCAGGCCCTTAAGTGGTCAATCATTGACTACTTAAGGGCCTTAATAAGCAGCAGATCAGATGGTCAACGACGGGTCTTCTGCCCAGAACTTAATTTCTGCGGTGGTGGGACGCAGATGGATCTCTCCTTGGTGCCAACCCACCCAATTATTTGCCCTTCTCGATACTGCTAAGGAGAGGAAAATCTTTACCATTATTTCAGGTCGATAACTTTTTATCAGAACTAAAACTTAACTGTTTCTCTCCAGAGATGGTGCCTGATCTGCTGAGTTTTTCCAGTCTTTTTGTTTGTCTTTGTTCGAACATAGGCCGAAGGGATCTTGGCAATAGCGGGGGAGAACAGGCAGTAAAGACAAAGGGATTCTGTTCCAAGTAATGGAAATTTACTACTGTTATTATGCAACGCTGACCATAAGTAATTGTTTGCATATCTATATATGGTTTGGCATATCGTGCGAGAATTAGTATTAGGAGGTAAGCAGCACGTAATTATGTAACAATAGAATGCTTCTTTCCTGTTCATTGAACAACAGGAAAAGTAATCTGCTTGTGGGGTTTACATGTGGAGCTGATGAAAAATTAGCTGTTAACTCCAAGTCAAAATTCAATAGACTTGAAAGGTATTTGGATGCTGTACATTCTTCCAGCATCACGGATGGCAATATGGATGGACTTTCAGTTGAAGGTGCAGTGGCAAAAATGCTCCTCTTAAACAGGATATTTAGCACTAATCATTAGTACTAAGCAGGGTGTGTATTTAACTTAAGATCGTTGTTTCAGACTAGGGAAAAAGATTGCAGTCAGTTTGACAACAGCTGCAGCCTCTCCTCCTGCTTCACCAAAGTAATCCAAACTTCAGAAACTAACTTGTCTTAGAAGCAATGTGCTCATGTTCGTTTGTGCATATAATTTGCTCAAATTAAATTTGACTAAACCAGTAAAAATGTAGAATTTCAACAATGCTTGTATGATTGGAACATTAAGGGTCCTACCAATAAGGGAACTGTACAACGCCACAGCCTACACAGACACTAGCAATTCCTGTTTTACACAACAGCCCACTGGATCCCTCCTCCCTCACACTAGTTCTTGTACAGCACTGTTCACAACTAACAAGAAAGTCACAAATTATTGGGGATAACAGAAATATGAATGTGAGGCCACAATCAGATCAGCCATGATCTTTATTGAATGATAGACGAGGCTCGAAGGGCCAAATGGCCTACCCTTGCACCTAATTTATATGTTTGTATGTTAGACGTTGAACATTCTTTTCAATTGAAATAGACTCCCCCACCTCTGATTTGGCCATATTGTGTGCAGCACTAATGGTTGTTCCATTCTAACTCATCCAAGCAAAATTGACCTATCTCCTAAAACAACATTGGGCGTTTAGTTGTGTGCACATACAGTGAATTCATCATGCACCATATGTCCACTCATTTCTTTAATATATAATCTGCAGTCAGTATTGGCAGTGGAGGAGATCCAGCACTTTCCCTGAAACAATATTTCTTTGATTTTTTTAAAATGACAGAACAGAGTTAAAATTAAGCCTCATAATTGCCCTATTTTGAGTTTGAATCCGAGGCAGCTTTCAGCATGAAATCTTCCTTCTGATGTGCTCACAGGTTTTCTGACTCTGCAGCATGATTGGTATACGAATACATGTTTGTGCCATTCCCAGATACCTAAAAAAGTAACAAAACAAGTCAAGAATTATTAGTGTACAACAGTAATTTTATAAAGAAGCAGTCTCAAAAGAACTGCAAATTATGGCAAAACCCCTTTAAAATACACCAATTCATTTTCCCCATTCCTCTGTTACTTCTTCCAAGACCCATTCTTGGTGATCCTGAAGATATTTTTACAAGATATTCAGCTCCCAGAGACATCACAACTAAACATTATTGTGTCTTCAGATTCCAAACAAACACACATTTTCAGATGTGAGGGATAACACAGTGTGGAGTTGGAGGAACACAGCAGGCCAGGTGGCATAGAGGAGTAGGAAAGTTGATGTTTTGGGTCAGGACCCTTCTTCAGAAATGGGGCTTTGCAGTGGGGTTATAACTCACTCAGAGATAGTAAGAACTGCCAATGCTGCAGTCAGAGATAACACAGCGTGGAGCTGGAGGAACACAGCAGGCCAGGCAGCATCAGAGGAGTAGGGAAGTTGACGTTTCAGGTCAGAACCCTTCTTCAGAAATGGCTGGCTTCTCTTTTCAGATGTGCGGGATAGCATTTGGAGAAAACAGGACTCACTTGTCCTACCTTCCAACATGTAAAGTATTGTAAATGCCTTAGCTGACTGAAACATTTTCTGAAGAAGGGTCTAGGCGCGAAACGTCAGCCTTCCTGCTCCTCTGATGCTGCTTGGCCTGCTGTGTTCATCCAGCTCCACACCTTGTTATCTCAGATTCTCCAGCATCTGCAGTTCCTGCTATCTCTGAAATATAACTTTTTTTTAAAGTCTGTTTCTCCCTTTCTTTACTGTACTTTTATCACCTTGAAGGGAGAATATCTGCACACTTTCCATGGCTACTAAAGTTGTGAAACAAGCACAGGGAGATGTGGAGCCAGGATCCATGAACGTCCCTGGCTTGTGGTAAGTCTGATTTAAAAACTGACCACTTTCACTTTTACATGCAAGTGGTATCACAATTTGGAAGCAACTGCATTTAAGAGTACATGATGGGATATGGAAGAATAAGGAGCAATGAGAAAAATAAAAAGATTAGTGACATACAGCAGTAAAATTGAGCATCACTCATTTCTAACACAAGCCTCTGTTGTATCTTCCTGGTAGGATCGGGTTTTTGCCTGGTAACCTAGCAACAAATGGCAAGGCCAATTGAAGAATAATTAGCAGTTTCCATAGAAAAGCACTTTGATACTTCAGACTATTTTGCACACCAGAGGGATATTTCTACTCCATCTGCTCTCAAGCACTTCAGAAGAATTTTCCACGGGAGAGGTCATTAAATATCTCTGTACTTCTGTCTCCAATTAGTGGGATCTTTCTTGAAGCATTATTGAATCTCATTAGTCTTCTGTGTTATGTCTGGTAAACTCCTTGAAAGAATGATTCCAAAAATGACCAATTGATCTTCAGCAGAAAATTGGAATTTTTTCATTTAAGTTTTAAAAACATATAGAATCAGCATCAGAGCTTTTTAATTTGTTCATCAGGTGTGGCTGTTGCAGATTGGACAAGCATCTATTGCCCAGATGTTAGTTAAGAATCACCACATTGCTATGAATTTTGAGTCACAAGACTGGGTAAGGATAGTAGATTTCCTTCTCCAAAGGACATTAGTGCACCAGTATTTTTACAATAATCAACATGGTTATATGGTTACCATTAGCCTAGCTTGTTTTATTCAAGTTTGTTAAACTGACTTTAAATCACTATCTGCTATGGTGGGATTCAAACCCATGTCTGCAGAAAATTAGCCTGGGGTTCCGGATTACTACTACACTGTGCCACTGCCTTCCCAAATTTTATTGACAAACTGATGGCTGATAGAAGGGTTTTTTAAAATTCATTCATATGACATGGCTGGGTATCAATGGTTGGCCCGCATTTATTGCCTGAGAAGGTGGTGCTGAGCTGCAGACCATATGCTTAGGTAAAGCCACAATGCCATTAGAGACGGAGTTCTAGGATTTTGACCCAGTGATACTGAAGGCAGAGTGATCTATTCCCAAGTCAGGATGGTGAGTAGCTTGGAGGGGAACATGCTTGTGGCAGTGTTCCCATATATCTGTTGCCTTCTGTTCTAGAGGGAAGTAGGCATGGGCTTGGAAGGTGCTATGCAAGGAGTCTTCGTGAATTTCTGGAGTGTACTTTGTAGATGGTACACACTGCTGCTACTGAGTATCAGTGGTGGATTAGTAGAATCTTTTAGTTTTAAACATCCTTCGTGGTCACATATAAAGTGACCCCATAAATTAGGAGACTTGATGATTGTTCTAAAATAAAAGAACTCAGTTTAACATCTAATATGAAATAGTACTAGCTGCAGTGTTAACTAGATTGTTTAACTGGGGCTTGAACTCACAGCTTTCCGATTCAGATCAGAGTGCTGTCACTAAGCCAAGATTGACATTTGGTCAGATCTTCACTACCAAGGTGGATAGCTCAAGTTAGGAAATTTCCTGAGTGTATTGAAAAGTCCAATTTTTGGTCCAGTGGTGGAGAAGAAACATCGGGCCCACCAATGTCAGAAGGAGAGTATAAGTAGCCACATATGTGGGGATGAGTGCAGAGATGGTATGAGTAGAAGGTTTGCTCCATTTCTCTGGGACTTCATCTGTTGTTTCACAAGTTCCTAGACCCTCTAGCTCTCACTTCTCACCCCTTACTCACTAGATCATGGCCTTTCAGACCCTCCATGACAATACAATAGCAACTCATTCCCCTTACTCATATCTTCATGCTCCTTCATGGTGGTGGGTGCCTGGAACACGTTGCCAGGTGGTAGAGGCAGGCACGATAGCATCATTTAAGATAACAAGATGTAGAGCTGGATGAACACAGCAGGCCAAGCAGCATCAGGGGAGCAGGAAAGCTGATGTTTCGGGTTGAGATCCTTCTTGAGAAAAAAGCGTCATTTAAGATGTATCTAGACAGATACATGAATGGGCAGGGAGCAGAGGGCTATAGACCCTTGGAAAATAGGCGACAGGTTTAGATAGAGGATCTGGATCGGCACAGGCTTGGAGGGCTGAAGGGCCTGTTCCTGTGCTGTAATTTTCTTTGTTCTTTGTTCTTTCTTTGTTCATACTCTCCACAGCCTCTCAACCAACATTCAACATGAGCAGAACTCATGGAGATGAAAAAAATACTATAACTATCAAATGCAGCTCCCACACATGCACAGTTGAGAGTGAAAAATATCACATTCACATAACCATTTCACACTGTTGGGATAGACAATGGCCTAGTGGTATTATCAATAAACTATTAATCCAGAGATCCAGTAATGTTGTGGGGACCTGGATTTAATCCTGCCATGTCAGATGGTGGAATTTGAATTCAATAATAATCTAGATAAAATAATTTAATGATGACTATGAAAGCATTGCAAAGTGTCAGGAAAAACCCATCTGATTCACTGATATCCCTTTAGAGAAGGAAATCTGCTATCCTTACCTGGTCTGACCTACATGTGACTCCACACCCACATCAATGTGTTTGACTCTTAACTGTCCTCTGCACAATTAGGGATTGGCAATAAATATTGTTCCAGCCAATGATACCCACATTCCATGAATGAATTTTTAAAAAGTTTTTAAATATCTTCCAGTGATTCAACTTGTATAAAAGCAAATTTCTATTCAAATCCTACATCAAAGACAGGGCAGAACTTTTGCTCCAGATCCTGCCTTTCGTTTTTAAAGGTCCACAGAACCTTCCTGACTCCATAAACAAAACAGTTCTATGATGTTTGAAGAAACTGTAAGTTAGTTTTGGATTAAGTGTAAATGTTACAACCATGTAACAGGGGCCTTAAAAATACAGTAGAGAGTTTATTGTCACAGTTTTTAATCTCAGTAAGGCCCTAGCCAAGCTGTTTCAGTTCAGCCACCACACTGGCATCTACCCAGCAATGTGAGAAATTGCCCAGTTATGCCCTGTACACAAAAGTAGAACAAATGCAACCTGACCAACTGCTGCCTCATCAGTTTATTCTCAATCATCAGTAAAGCAATAGGAGGAGTGATCAACGTTGCTATTAAACAGCACTTGAGTGGCAAGAACTTGCTTAACACCTGGCCCGAGTACAGCCTTGATTCAAAGAAAGCCAAACAGCTGAACTCCAGAGATGAGTTGAAAGTGACTGTCATTGACAGAAAGGCTGCATTTGACTAAGTGTGGTATGAAGGAACCCTATCCCCAGAGCCTGTCCAATAATCCACAAGGCCTGATCAGCAGTATGATGGAATACTCTCCACTTGCCTGATGGGTGCAGCCCCAAGAACACTCAAGAAGCTCAACACCATCTCGGGAAAACCAGTCCAAAACATTCAGCACTCCTTCCAATACATTCAACATTCATTGCATTTACCACTGACATACAATCACAGCAACATGTGCCTTTTACAAAATGCACCGTAGCAATTCACTCCTTTGACATCACCTCCCAAACCCACAATCTCTGCCATCTAGAAGGACAAAGGCAGCAAATGCATGAGACTACTATCACCCACAAGCTCTTCTCCAAGCTATACACCATCCTGACTTTGAGAGATAACATCGTTCCTCCAGTATCTCTTGATCAAATTCCTGGACCTTCCTCCCTAACAGCTTTATAGGTGCACTGACACCAAACAGATTGCAGTGGTTCAAGAAGGTAGCTCATTACCATCTTCCCTAAGGCAATTCAGGTTGGGCAGTAAATGCTGACCCAGCCAGCAAAGCCCACATTCTCTGAATGAATGAGAAAAATTTGAAGGCTTTTCAAGTTAACACTGACCTGTTGCATTTTCAGCAATTTTATTTCCCCTTATTTCTTCCCAATACAACCCAGTTTTTTTCAGTGTTTATTGGAGTAGCACTCAACACACAGACTAGTAGGCTGTTTTCAAACTGAACCTAGACAATGAGTAATAATGAACCATTTTTGAAGCTTGTCTTTGCCCAATTCCACCATCCAATAAGGAGCTACTGAATGACTGAGAAAAC